TACTACTACTACTACTACTACGACAACAACTACTACTCCTGCTCATCCTCCTACTCCTGCTCCTACTCCTACTCCTACTCCTACTCCTACTCCTACTCCTACTCCTACTCCTACTCCCACTCCTACTACTACCCCTCCTCCTCCTCCTCTTCCTACTACTACTACTACTACTACTCCTGCTGCTGCTGCTGCTACTACTACTACTGCTACTACCACTACACTCCTACTCCTACTTCTACTGCTACTGCTACTTCAACTGCTACTGCTAGTGCTGCTACTGCTGCTGCTACTGCTGCTGCTAGCTACTCTACAACCACTACCGAGAGGTTGCGGCTCCAAAACTGCCGAAAGCTGCACTGTTGAAATTGAAAGGCTCAGGGTTCCTCGGAATGCACAAGAGTCCACGAAACCTCATGTCCTCAGGCCGTTTCAACCCTCAACCCCAAACCCCCAGGCGCCTTGCTGGCCAAAAGCCCCACTTTCCCGACATGGCTCCGCCCGGGGCCGTAACGCGGCCGAAGCACATGGACAGAACCCAAGAAGATCATGAATGCTGCAGGAACAGCTGTTGGGCTTAGAATTTCCGGGTTTGTGTTTAGGTGTTCTTTGCACAACCGCGGGCCACATCCTCGCGAGCCGAAATACGAATATAGGTGCCCACTCCCTGCACCTTAAAGCTTTCATCGAGAGCCGCGTAATTGACGCTATGTGTACTTGAGATTCATACACCCTCATTTGCATCAGGACTTTTGCAACGGCCTGAACATCGGCCCAGAAAGTACACACTTAGTAACCCCGTACATCACGTAGTAGATGTAATATCACAGCCTACGCCTTACAACTGCAAATCCTGCAGCCAACGCCCGGGCCGGAGACACTGAGGCTTAAACCGGGAACCCCGGTTGCCAACAAAAAGGGATCATCGCAATCCACACACAAACTCGAAACTCCTCAGCAACCCAAAGCCCGATTAGGAGTCAGTGCCCAGCATCAAAACATACACTCCTTTAGCCCTAAAGTGCTTTGGGTCAGATATGCGAGCCTCTTGAAGGCCGATATCCCACAGTAACTTCTGTCGCGCGTGGACCACCCGTTAGAATGTTCCGGCGCGGCTCTGCAGCCGAACCCACATTTGCGCCCAAGAGAGTTGGGTTTTTGGGTTCAAGTTGAAAAACGCAGTTCTGGGACACGCCATCCCCACACCGCAGCTATCCTAAATTCAATAGAGTGCTCAACCTATCTCTGTCCTTATCATCCTCCGTTCATGCCAACAGACCCCAATACGTTTCCTTAAGGGCGCAATCTCAACCCGTTTAGATCCCTAAACCCCGTAAGCGGATGCCCAAATTAAGGCATGTGTAAACGCACTAACCCGAGACAAAAAGCGGCACTATAACCTTATACCATGGATCCCTACACACTAGATGGTAAGTGACCTTCCACGGAAGACCCTGGTGTTCATGACCATGCCTCCCAAAACCCAATACGCACTAACCTGAACCCAGAGCCCCGTACTCAGCACTCCAATTAACCTACGACCCTCACCCTAAAACCTTACCATCTCTTCCCTACGCCCGGAACCCCTACTACCTAGACATTCAAGCTTGCTAGCCTGATTGTTGAAATCCTTATGAATTCATGGTCGTTTTGGCCCCTCCCTGAATCTAAAAAGAGAAACCTAACCTCCATATGGTACGTAAACCCTAAACCTACGCCCTAAACCCTATAAAGCCTATATCCAATCTAGTAGCACCTCGTGGATCCGCATACGGCATTGCAAGACCTCCAGTGCTTCGGGATTTCTAGGCATCATGTAGGGTTTCGACTCACACACTCGCAAATGCAGGCATGGCGATAAGTATCATGTAGGGTTTAGGGTTTAGGGCATCCCCGGTGCTACTTCGAATGTATATCGGGGCTTAGGCTTTTTTCGCCTGAAGCTACAACTCGGGCCTCGGGTTCTATAGCAGTAAGACTCAACATGTATACTACCAGTGCTTATAGGGTTAGGTCCTGCCGCCGTAGACCCGTGTCTCCTAGGCACACGAAACCCCTAAGCCCTAAAATGTTACCTGGAAGTGTCAGAGATTCAGAAACCTTACCACAGACGCTAGTTACAGTAACAACGATGCAGCCCTCATCAATCTAGCAAACCGAAACGACACTATTGTAAAACCCGCACAATAGAATCATCTCAGCCTGTATCCCTACCCTCCCAATACAACAGAGCCAAACAGCGTACAAAAAGTATTAAACTAGGTTGTTAGGGCATATAACGGGGCATAAAGAACGAGGGATTACGAGGGGATACTATGACAAATTATACGAACCTTTATATTATCAGCTTAACCCGAACCTCTCAATCCCAAACGCCAAACCTGTGACACCGCTGCTCTCCCCCCATGCATTTTGATAAGAACTAGCATGGAGAGCCTCATGAAAAAATATACCGTTCAGGCCCTTGGATTATTGACCAAGAGTCCACAGAGTCTACAGTACCCTAAACCCCCAAACCCCAAGCCCGAAATTCAAGCAAACGCCTGGGAAGACGCCAGGTGGTTGTCGAGCTCCTGCCGGAGCTGAAGACTCTTTCAGCCAGGAACTAACAGTTTGGGAAGATTGGTGTTGGGGACCGAGTTATGTTCAATGGCTTCTGTGAGAAAGTCTAAGGAATAGCATAAGACATGAAACTCGGACTGCACACATCGGCTGTCGCGGCACCGATGTAACCAAACTCCAAAACCACAAACAGCCAGCGCTCCTGGTGCGTTCGGCTGGTAGGGTGCAATCTGAATGCCGTTCGGGAGATACTGCGGCATGGCCCTGGGGCGGCTTGCTGTACCCCAAGGGGATTATTGGGTTCAGGGCGTCGGAGTGGGGTGCACCAAGGGGATTATTGGGTTCAGGGCGTCGAAGTGGAGTGCAAGGATTTTTGGCAGTCGCTTCACGAAGCTTTGTGCTTCAAAGGGTCCAACTTCTTCCTTCAACGCTCTACGTCAACAGCCAAATTAAAGCCACAAAAGCCCAAACCCCGAACACTGCCCAAACCAACCAGTCAACCCATGCCTCGTATGACTTCAAGGAATTACGTTCAAGCTCTGTCGGCACAAGGGCCATACTCTCCTCTCTCAGGCTTCTCTTGAGACTTACCTATAGTCTCCATTGTAGCTTTAGGGTTAGGATCCTATAACTTAACCCAAAAAAGCTGCTACAATGGGGACTATACGTAAAGTCTTGAAGCCCCAAACACTTGTAAACTAGGCTATGCTGCAGGTCTTCAGCCACAAACACGGGATGGAAAGCTGTGACCAAAAGCAAGGAAGCTTTGCAGGTCGGTGACCTTTTAATGATTTGGGGTTTAGGGGTTTAGGGGTTAGGGTTTAGGGTCTAGAATGGTCACTGCTCTTAGGAAAGGGCTTTTGGATTCCACCCATAGATTAGGTTGGGTTTTCTCCCCACCCGAGTATAGGGTTGACACATTCGGGATTCACCTACCAACAGTGGTTTTCAGGTGTGTGAAGGACATGTAAGCAGTAGCTCTCCGGATATATATATATATATATTCTGTGACTGTTTCTTTTCTGGTTGCTATTGTGATCACGATCCCAGGGTTTGGGCCATCAGGTTTATACCACTGAACGAGTAGTGCTTGTAATCATGCCTGCTCTGATTCAATATCATCTCGGCTGTGGGTCCACCAATGTCTACGATCAACCCGGTTGTGTTCGCCAGAACAACTCATGTTTCATGGCGCAGATGCGGCCGATGATCATACTGTACCATGAATCATGAACATGAATTCGGACGGTTTCGGGGTGAGGCTTGGGTGAACCATGATCATATTGTACCATGGATCATGAACATGAGTTGCGGGGTGTTTCGGGGTGAGGCTTGGGTGAACCGATACAATATTTGTTCGTCGAGGGCATCAGGCAGGGCAAGCTCGGACAAGGAATTGACAAGATCCCGCAAGAAATCACAGCAAATCCGGACTGGACTAGTAGATCCAAAACCTGTTCTGGTCACCCACTCTTTAACAAAGGCGATGACATTACAAGTTCTGCAAGAAGCAACCCGGCAGTCATAAACGCTGTAACCATACCTGACCCAATTGAACCCAAAGCAAGCGCACATGCCTCAAAGTGAGACTCAACTCTCCACCGACTGGAATAATGAATGCACCCTCTACAGCCCTAACAGCCCTATCAGGCCTAAAGCCTAATTAAGCCCAACTTCGCCTGATGATCCCTTCTTACGGTTAGTCCCGTAGCACCGCTCCGCAGGCTGAGCTTCCTCCCTAAACTAAACCCTACTCCAAATAAGACCCTACTCTAACACCAAAAAGCCCAGACCATCAAAACAGAAAAAGCTACTCCAAATCCTAAGCCCTAAACCTTAAAACCCTCCAATCGTCATCGAACTCAACTCAGGGCAACAACAAGTTTCTCGAGGCCCTGGATCCTGGCTTGTAGCTACAATGTCGGAAGACAAAAACCGTGGCAGCCAAGCCTCGCCCCCCAGAGCATAAACGCCAAAAGAAGGAACCCCCCTGAGGTGACCGAAGTTCAGTAACTCCTAGAGTCTCCATTGTAGTTCCTTTTTGGGGATACCTTATACAATCCTGTAGTTCCTTTTTGGGGATACCTTATACAATCCTTAATACATAATTGGTTAAACCAAAAAAAGGAACGACACTGGAGACTAAAGGCTCTCTGCAGCAGGGAGACGGAGGCATCTGTGGAGCCTGTATCACTGGTTTTCCGGTTTCGGGGGTTCCGGGTTTAGGCTTTAAGGTTTGGGTTTAGGGTTTAGGGTTCAAGGTTTAGGTTTTAAGGGCTCTTTGGGGGTTGAGGGTGTGTGTTTTCTTCGCAAAGGGGCTTCAGGGATTGTCAGAAATCCAACAGGCCTCAGAGATTATTGTAGGGGCAGTCCAACCGGCCTGTGTAGCAGGCTACTGAATAACTACAAACAGTACTCCCTGGCAGCCCCTGCGTGATCTTGAACCCCACAACCCTGTTCTAGTGAGCCTACATTACACTCGTCTTTTCGGCCATGATCTGAAAGACCCTTCGGTGCGTAGCCATCTTCGGATACAGCGGCGGGGACTCAGTTACCTGAAGCGTCACAGTCATGGTGTCTAATACAAATGCAAAACCCTCAACACCCAAGGCCGAGAACCCAATACCTAAACACGGTAACTTCTGAATAAGACGGCTTCCAGTCGGCTTCCAGGGGAAGCTCAAAAGTTTCTGTGGGCTCAGGCTTCCATTAGCCTAAGTCTAAAAGGGGGTTTCTGTAATGGGCGTCTACTAAACAGCTTCTATAAGGTAGCTTCTTTCGAGCTCCTGTACGGGTTCGGGATTTTCTGGGTTGAGGGTTTCAGGGCTTAGACTTAGCCGACTCAAAGTGTGGGGATACATGGGATTGGGTGTTCACACTCAGAATCTTGTGGCCCCCATACTTCGGCTAATCAGAGGCGGGACATGAAGGCTTCGCCGGCCTCGCATGGCCTCAAGCGCTCAGGCTAGATCCTGCAGTCCCGCAGTGGACCTTCTATAAGGCTCCTGTAACGGTAACTACCCACCAGAAGATGTCCTAGATTATGTGAATCCTATTCTTGGAGAGCAATCCCCGAACCCCACCAGACTCCCAAAAAGCCGGTGGACTCCCAGGCTCTAAGCTCCAAACTCCGGACTCCAGACTCTATCCTAAACCCTCAACTCTAAACCCCCAGTAGCTTGAACTCTTGAGCTCAAGCGCCTAAATGCTTCAAACCCCCGAAACCCCAAGGCCAAACCGCCGTGTGCCTGAGCCGCGGCCTTGCTTCCGGGTGCTGGTTGGTAGGGCTGGATGTTGGAGGGAGCCTGGGAGGTGCGTGGTTTTTTGTTTGTTGTTGCGTTGCATCTCGCCTGGTTCATAGTAGTTGAGTTTCATAGAGGTTCTCATTGAGGGTTGGGTAGGGGTTCCATGTTGAGCTTGGGCGGGGGTGAATGTCTGTGGGATTGTAGGCTTTATGGCTCGGGGCTTTCAGGTTTCTGGGTCCATGGTTTCAGGGCTCAGGGCTCAGGGCTCTTAGGCTTCGGGGCTCACCGCTGTAAGTTTGGTCTTTTCGGGTTCTCGGGTTCGATCCCTTGACCTTGACCTTGGGAGCTCATGTCCGTCGACACGATTGGGCAAGATCTGCAATATCCCTTGAACCTTCAACCGAGCTCAGCGAACAGGCTTGACCAGCCCCAGTAGTTTCACTGGCAGAACCCTTGAATCCACAAGACTTGCCCGAAACAAGTCGAAGACCTTCAGATTCCAAAGGATTCTCAAAGGATGCCACTAGCCAAAGTAAGTGTGGGTTGCTGCAAACATTCTTACATGGGGGGGCATCTTGGTACCCAAGTAGGTACTATAGGGAGTACACATTCATGGGACGAAAAAAAGGGAATGTATTCTGAACCGTCTCCATCAGAGTCGGGGTAGGCTCAATGCCTTGAGCCCCCAAATTCCCAAACCCCAAAGCTCTGGCTTCAGGGCTTCGCGAACTTGAACCCACCCAGTTACGCTCCGGTCGCTTCGGGGTCTGGGCGGGGGGTGTGACCCCTCAATCGCCAAAAACCCCCAACATAGCGGCGCCTGCCTAGTTGAATCCTAGCCGAAGCCACGGCTATACCTGTTTCGTAGCTGTGCAGAAGAGGCGAACCAGCCCTAGAACTCGTAAACCTGACGACCCTTTTTTGTAGGTCTTACCCATATCACCCCTTATGACTATGACTCCTTATGACTACGACCCCTTATGACTATGACTTTCAGCTTGGCAGCATAGGGCGGGTTCAAGTTCTGCGGCGCAGCCTTGGAAGAGCGTGCGAGCTCCGCCATGGTGGCAGGATCCGCCTCCTTTGCGCCCTAAACCCTAAACCCTCAGCACACAGGAGTTCGGGCTAAAGGGCGGTGGATCAAACTACCCATAGGCCCCAGGCCCCATAGTAGTTCCTTTTTGGGGCTCGTATTGAGAATCCTATAAGGAAATCCCGAAAAGGAACTACTATGGGGCCTATGGGTAGGAGGATACTTAGTGTCGCGGACAGACATGAAACCCCGCCGGAACTCGCAACATCCAAACCAGGACTCCTCAGGACTCCACTGCTGCGACGGCCACGAGGACACACGGCCCTAAGAAGCCAGGAAGAACCGGAAACCCAAAAGTTAGGGTTTAGGGCTTAGGGGTTTAGGGGCTTAGGGGTTTAGGGTTCTAGGGTTTAGAGGTTTAGGGCTTAGGGGTTTAGGGTTTAGGGGTTTATACGGTTTAGAGGTTAATAGTGTTTATAGTTCAAGAGCCCAATAGACTCTGCAGGAGGGCGTCCTCCGGCATGACCCAGACCGCGTTGATGCCACCGCTTGGGGAGGCTTGGCTGATTCCATAGGCTGCCCCCCTGCATTGCGTGAGTCTGGGCATGAAGTGTCAAGTAATTTGATATACTGTAGTATATTATCATATACGATAGTACATTGTCATATACTATAACAGACTATAACTTATAACAATATACTGCAGCTTACTATAAGGTTTTGTGAGTTTGGGGTTTCGGGCTGGAGAGTCTCTTGGGGCCAGTTTTATGTGGCGTGTGGATGTAGGGCTGGGTTTGGAGTTTAGGGTTTGGGCTTTGGGTTTTTTTGCGTTTTGGTTTTTTGGGGCATGTACGGGTTTAGGGTTTATAAGGTTTGGGATCATGGATTATGGCTTCAGCTGGCAGGAATTCAGCCTCGCTCATGTTGACGCTGCAGGCATCTGGGATTAAGGGCTTTGGGATGTTCGGGTTTGGCAGCAATCAGTTGCAGAGGCGTAGCTTGCAGAACTTCCGGATTGAAACAAGCTCTCTTATTGCAGAAATAGCCAAGGGCCAGAGCAGCTCCCCTTAACAGTTCCAGACAGGTAAAACGCATGCCATACTGTTACTCTCTTTGCCTCCCCACCTGATTCTACAGCCATACTGGCTCGCTACATGTGCCTATGTATGTGTATGCGCTGGCATCAGTGCATTAGCCACCAGAGAAGTACAGAAGGCCAAGGAGAGACAAACAAACAAGCAAACAGCCCGTGCAGGCAAACAGGTCCAGGAGCGAAACGCAGAAACAAAAACAAATCAACTACACAGAGACTGTAAAGGCCCGGCTGAGTGAAGTAACGATCCCCTGAACATAACTTAAACAACTAAACCCTCAGTCAAGGCTGCCTGGGACCATTGGCCAGGACCTTCTGTGCGTCCTGGCAGGCAAGCAGGAAAGAAGGGAGGGGCAAGGACGGCTTGCGAAAGTACGGTTCCTGTATTCCGCTTTAGTGCATGGCAAGGGGTAGATCTCGTGGCATGAGCTTCAGGTGCAGGCTTCAAGGTTTTCGTTTTGGGGCCGTGCCCTGCGAAGATGAAGATGCTGACAAGTGTGACTGTGTCAACCACCCCCCAAAATCTCCGGCCGCTTCGGTGTACGCTAAACCGAACACTCTACCCAATTGCACCGACCGCTGGCTGACGAAACACACGGGCTGTCGTGAGGGTGTCGATGGTGGCTTGGCGGGTGGTGCTGGTGGTAAGGGTGGTGCCAAAAGCAATCGCATTTTGGTGAACACGATTTCAAGGGTACAAACCCTGCCAACACGAATTCCCAAACACCCCAAATGTGAGACTGATATAGAAGGAACTTCAATCTCGAGGTGCCTCCGAAGCCTGCGTCTCCTCCTCCTGGGGAGCCTCGCCCCGTAGCCAACCGACAATGCCAGAGACCTGAACTGTGAACGATAGTAAACGGATTCGGTTGCAAGCGTTCCTTGGGCCTTTGATACAGTTACAGATCGGAACCTGTCGCGCCGCTTGCCGTTCGGCATTTTTAAGCTGGATCAGCGTCTTGTCAATTCAAAGGCTGAGGTTGACTACCGCGTCCAGTTCCCCAGCCTGAAACAGTGAGTCCGGCGATTGCGTTATGGGTCAATGGCGGCCACATGATGCAAATGGCAACATGTTATCGCCGCTTCTTACGTTCTTGACGCCTTCCCAAGCTCGCCTCAGTAGGTTCAAACGTCATCAAAAACAACTCACATCACCTCTGACCTTGTTGCTAAACAAGCAATCAAACTATTCGAGTAAGGAACGCAAACCTCTGCGTGTTGCCGGGGCATACATGCTTGAAGTGCAAGTTCCCGAGGTTCACGACTTCTAACACAGTTGACTAGCTGATCTCCTGCAACCACTCCATATACGCTGGGAGCTGCATTCTAAACCTTGCGCTTCAAAAACTCCAGCCAAGGACCAATGAACGGGTAATACATGCTATTATATGATATATGGTATCATTAATTAATTGTGTATCTGTATATCAAAAACATATATATATATATACACACACACACATAAAAATTAAGCCAGCGACCCCGTCGATGAGAATGTCCCCGGCCTCAGGCGGAAGTTAGAGCTTTCGAGTTCGAAGTTTCCGTAAGACCCCTGAGTTTCAGCAAAACCTAAACCCTAAACCCTAAACCCTAAACCGTAAAACAGCAGAAGTCGGAGAGCCCTGGGTTCGTTTCAAGTCGCTCGGCTCGAGGCCCCAAGACCGGCACGCCGGTGAATGGGAAGCTGAACAGGATTTAGCTTCTTTTTTTTTTTTGAGGGCTTTGGGTTTAGGGTTTTGGGGGGTTTAGGATTAGGGTTTTGGGGGGTTTAGGATTTAGGGTTTAGGGTTTAGGGTTTAGGGTAAGGTCTGAAGAGTTTAGGGTTTAGGGTTACAGAAGCCTAAGAAGTTACCAGTTGTTATTCTCTACTCCTTATGAGAATTATAGTGT